AACATTGGCAGGAAAAGGTAATTTGGTCTTAAAGCTTGCTTAGAGGACTGCAGTTTCTCTGTGTTATAAAGGATGGACATCTGGGGGCCTCAGGAAGTTCATCAGGACCTTTCCCACTTATCTGCAGGCCAGACTGAACCTTATCAAACCTTAATGACAAATGTTCTCAGCAACCTTCTTCACTCAGACAGTTGTATATCTGTGTTTACTCTCCTTCCTTCCATGCAGCTTTACACTTTTTCAGTTGTTCTTACATATAATGGTGGGTGAAAAAGAAAAAAAAAAAAGAAAAGGAGGTGCATTAACTAGATCATAAAAGGAATGGATCTGAAGTACTTGTGTGATTTCAGACAGTGATGCAGTGATGGGAAGGGGAGGAAAAAAACGTCTTCCTTCCTTGTCGTGAGTTTGCCGACCAGCCCCCCCGACATGTTTCCTTGCCCAATGATTTCAGGTCCTACACTTACTGTGCATTCCCATCCCTCTTCCATGACTCATCTCCAGGGTCTTATATGTGATTACCCCAGCTCTCACGTCCCTGGTCTTTCCCTGATCCTATTTAAGGTGACAGCTACTTATCTTCATTTGTGCAAAAGCAATATTTTTGAGTTCCCATTACAGAGAGATAATGGTGGAAGAAAGAAATATTTTCAGAGAGGAAAAGCCAGACGTGCTGGGTGTTACAGCAGTGAAGAGCAGGGAGGAGAACAGATTGAGTGCCCTTACAGTGGCACTGAGGAACCTGGCTGGTCTCCAGCACACACTGTAGCTAATGGCTACTGACACTAGCAGCAGCCTGTACATGCCCACCCTCGGGGGCTGAGGGTATGTGTGGACCACTGTCATTCTGCTGAAGATGTCCCTGCAAACACTTAGGACAGGCTGAACTCCTCTCTGACGCCACAAAAACCATGTCATGTTTGATGTAAACTGGAGTGACACAATCTTGACAGATCTAGAGCTACGTAAAGAGAAACCACTGCAGTATGAGGAACTGGACCACTGAGATGTAGGTTCATGTCCTGAGTAAGATGCTGCTTCTTGCAAAATTCTGGAAGTTTCCTGACTTTTTATCTGTCACTTGTAACTGGAAACACATGGTTTGGGGAAGATAATTTATACTGAGCTGGGATAGAAGAAAGAGGTGGGCAACAGTGCTGGAGCTCCCCTCAGCTGGATATAACCTTGTCCCAGGGTCAGCAAAACCACAGGAAGCTTGTATGAGAGCTCACAGCAGTCACGAATCTGCCTGTCTGATAGTAATTTAAAACCAGTGATCACTCTGCTTTCAGTTCACCAAATTAATAAGAGCTTTATATATTTAAGGTTTTGTACATTTGCTGATTCACACTCACTAAAGATAATTAGTGAGCATCTCTATTAGCAATACAGAACCCCTCCTGTGTAAGCCCCTTTCATGTGACTTGTCCCATTTGCCTTTTTTTCATGGCTTTTATTTGCTACTAAAGGAATACCACATGTGAAGTGATGTTTGAGATTTAGAGTATTATAGCAGCTGACTGCTACGTGACAACTTTTTAAAGCTGGCTCTGAGAAAATCAGAGTGCATGAAACTGAATTGTAAAGATTCCGACTACAGACACACTAATCCTCTAAAAAGGCAGAGCTACTGATAGATTAACTCATTAGACTAGATGCACACTAGTCTAAATATTCAGAAAAAGAAGCTGTGGTCACATCCCTGGGCAGGCTTTCATATGATGATTTAAAAAATCTGCTTCAACTAGGCTAACACTGCCATGGCAGGCTGGAAATGCTCTCCTCAGAGTCAGTCTTGTTACTTAAAATACAGCTTTGCAGTCAAACTGCAGAGAAGTAAACATAACTAAAATTGTCAAGTTAGGAGCTCAAAAGTTATGAAATGCCAGACTAAGTTTCCTTTTCTGAATCATCCCTCCTCCCCTCCTTTCTTGTCTTACAGACAGTGCACAAAATGCAAAACTATTCAGTGTTTTGTAGCTGCCTCATTTTTTACTGCATGACCTCAGGCCTTCATTGAAAAATGTCCAATACAAATTTTAAAAAAAACACAGCATCCCGGTGGATTATTCTATGACCCAACACTGACTTCAGAGGTATCACAAATAATTTTTGGAATACCTGTGAAGTGAGACATTTATATAGATTTCATTTCCTATTTGGAGATTGACAGGATTAAGAACAAAGGTGCCTATGAAATACAAATGCTACATATGAGACATTTTCAGAGAGAGCTTAAAATTTCCTTTTGTATCATACTTCTTTTTTTTGATACTGTGCTTCAACAGTGTTCTGTTCTGTTTGTTGTCAGCACATCTAACTAGGAACCCTGGAACTAAGTATCACTAGAAGATACTTTTAATGATTTCACAACTGTAACATGAAAAATTTAAGATATGAAGGAGAGACACAATTAAATTTTAAGTAAATACAAGATTTTTGTTTTCATTGAGTATGTGTGTTCTACTCATTGCTTAGAGAAGTCAGAAGCACTTTCCCCTCAGCTTTGGGGCAAATGAGGCATGGACAGAAAATATACAAAATAGGACATGATAATAATTGTTTTATAATGCAGTCATAAGAAATTTGAATTATGGTTTACAGACAGCCTTGACTCTGGTACTTTTGACTTTGCAAACACAGTAACTGTCTGATGTGTTTGTGGTATTTTACTCTAAATTGAAGAAAGACCCCCAAACCAGAAAGAAAATTCAGTATATGACATCCTAATTGTATTTATTAGTGATTAGCAGATATGCAACTGTTAGCTTTGGCATATAGATCTGATGCTTAATTAAAACCATGAACAGCAAATAGCAATCTAGTTTCATTACAAGTTGTGCCCGAAGCAGAGGAATATATAGGGCACTGTGACAAAAGGCTTCACAGATATTTCCTGACAAAGAAAACCAAACTTGCAGCTCTTTGAGGGGAAGCCTGCTCCCTTGTGAGTATGTGCTCCTGCCTGTTCTCTCCAAACCTATGTTTCTTAGGGACAGCTACTGTCCTGTCCATAATGCTATCACTTTTCCCTTTTCTCAACTGTCATTCTCATCACCCTGTGTTCCCTCTCTTTCCACCTAAGTCCCAACCCCATGAACAAATCATTCAACCAAGCAAACTCAGCTTTCAGCATTCTGTCTGAAACTCCTGTTTCAACAAACCTCAGTTCCTCCCCTGCTGGTGCCCTACACAGTCCATCTATTGCTCCTCTTCTCTATTTTCTATTTGCTCATGTTCTTTGTTGTTCTTCCTATCTATCTACATTCCTAGTTGTGTCTTATCTTCTTGTGATACTCGCATGAAATTTCTTTATTACTAGTTTTCTTCACATACCCAGACTTCACTCCATGTAATGTCTTCATCTTTCTGTAAGATTTTTTCTTAGTTTCCATCTTTTCAGCTAGTTTTCCATCCAAGATAGACCCTCTCTGCCCCCAATCTCCTCTATTGCCATCTAGCCAGTTTCATTTTTCTATCATAGAATCACATTTTGAAGGCAATTCTTATCATTCTAGTCTCTTCTGTTTCTCCTCACCCACAAATGAAGAAAAAACCCAGGGCTTACATTGTTTCATAATGTTTTCCCAATTTTGTTCAGATCTAGTAACGTCTTAACAGATGTCAATCACTAAGACTGTTTTCAGATCAAGCAACACTGTAACAAAAGCTTTAGTGACATTGTTGGCCCAGAAATCTTATGCACATGAGAAATGAAAAATTTTCTACTGTCCCAGGATTGTCAGCTGTGCATTTTACTGCAAATCTTGTTTCAAAAGAATGAAAAATGTTTGGACAAATTAAAATTCTGCATCCAGTGTGCAATATCTTCCTTCTGTCACCTGATGACCACATTGCAGGTGATGACTTGTCATTGCTAGAGATGCTTTACAGAAGGTGGATCTCACATTTCATCAGCCTTTCCAGATGAAGGGGAGATTATCCCCTTTGATTTCAAAAAAACTGAATTTGGGCAGCCACTTCAAAAGATGTGACTCAGTCAGAAGGCACTGGGCAGCAGGGGATCAGCTGAGCAGGGAAGGAGATGTAGAGCAATACCAGAGAAAACTGAAAAACCAAGCCACTGTCAGGAGCTGCAGTGGGAGTGAAGTGAAAGTGGATATATACTGTGGCAGATGGGAACAGAGTACGAGATAGGAGACTGAGGAAAAGGAAAGAAATTGGGGAGGTAGCCTGCTTTTTCATTATCTAGTGCTATACCTGATAACAGACCTGTTAACACGTTGGAAAACTTTGTCTCAGTGTGACTCATGAGCACAGGTGTTTGTAGACGTGCTCTACAAGTATTTTGAGTGGCAAGTCCCTAGTTCACTTTTGCTGTTGCTTAGCCTTGATTCACTTCTCCAGTGGCTAGTCCTAGCCAAGAATCTATTGCATAATTCTGCAAACAGAATTGCTGGTAAATGACCAGTGAGCCAACCTTTGAGAAAAGACTTCAGCTTTGTTACAGCTGCCATTCTGTGCTTCATCTTAAAAAAGTTCATCTATTTCTGTCTGTGTATCCACTAGAAAATTTTAGTCTTAAGCAGTATCAGGTACCTGACCAAGTGATCACAATGAGACATCAGAATTTCTCACAGCCACACACTACTTTTCTTTTTATTACTTTTGCACAGTCAAAAAGTGCTGCTTGAAAGTTGCTTTTATGGTGGTGATATTTAAGTTTTGTGACATGACCTAAAGTATAGCACAGGAACATTATAACTAGAAAATATTTTCCTTAAAATATACTTATGTGGGGGTTTTGCCTTTCTTTTTGTTTTGTTTGTTTGTTTGTTTCCCCTGAAAAACTAGTAGCAAGATTGCCTCCATTACAAACAAACCCAAAAATTAACTTGAAAAGGCAAGGAGGCAATTTACCTGTTCACAACTACATTGGCTCCTCCTAATATCAGAAAATAATTAAGAAAAACACTAAAAGACATGCATTCAGTTTTAAAGCATGAAATTTTCTAGAATACATATTTCTAACAACTTACTTTCACTGGATGAATAGTCCTGTGGATCAAGTATCCCTGACTCCTGCAGTGATCTAATACATGAGTCCACCAGCTCCAGACCAGTGGTGAGTTCATCTTCTATATCCTTCTGACCATCTGTGATAAAATTAATAACATGAACATGTCAAAGAAGAGCAAAAGGTAAAACCAGTTACAAGACAAAAGGTAAAACCAGTTATATGTGACTAAGCATTCACAGTTGATGAAGGACTGGAGATCACAGCAAGATCAGCCATTCAGAGGAGGTTAGCCATACTGAAAATTATGCAATCCTTTTGAGAGCAAAATGAGAAAGTTCAGGTCTAATCTTAAGAAAACTAGAGACACATTTAGCAATGCCCACTCTCAAAACTCCACGTTAGTTTCAATGTTCTTTTGGTCAACCATAGCATCTATTGACAAATTTTGCCAGTTTTTAAGTAGAGTTTTCACAAACTAGCAATGAAAAAAACCTACAAACCCAAAACAAAAAACCTCACATAAATAAATTGGTTTTTTCCTCTCCATCTTCTTTAGGAAAAAATGATCATTCTGAGAGAGAATATATGCAATACATATATGTAGATAAGTACATTACCTTGTGTTTGCCAGTGAAACTGCTCTTCTGTTGAACTGAAATAAGAAAAACAAAAGTTTTAATTTTTAATTAAATGATTCTGTATGTGTCAAGAATATTCAGATATAAAGCTATTCTGAAGGAACTGATTTAATAAAAGAACTGACTTAATAATAAACAACATACTTAAAATACAAAATTTTACATTTTTTTTTAATGATTGACTTGCACAGCATTCACTCAGCAGGAGGGAAGAATCTTTACTCCTTAAACAATAAATTTAAAACATACATATAGAAAATGCCCTCTTGGTCTTGATAGACAAACTACACTATTTTAAAGCAAAAGCATTAACATACTTAGCTTTTTTGGATCCTTCCATTTGTCTGATTCTCCATCTCTTATAGAGAAACAATAAATTGCTTTCTCAAGTGAATAGTTACATGTGATTTCTAAATGAAATTATGATTCCTAGTTCTAGTGATCATTATGTGCATTTTTATATTATTCAAATGTGCAGCTAAGTTAATTCAATTGGCCTACACAAGAGAGTAAATTTAGATGTGTTTGTGCTTCTATGTACAAGCACTTAAGCAACAGAAGGTCTTAATTTCAATATAATGAGCATGCACACTAGAGGACTGGTTAGGTAGGGTTTTTTTAATATAAAATGAATGATATATTCAAATGAATGATACAATGAATTATATATTCAATTAGGCAATGAGTACACTTTTCTCAAAGTCATGTTCTGTTCATGCTTCAATATAGGTCTTTCTTACATGCCAAGAATACAAAAAAGATTGAAGTTACTCAGTACTAACCATTCTTTTAATAACAGTGAGCTGATTATTACAGTCACGATTAAAACATTTTTCTGTACATTTTACAAGATATTTCCAGGGGAGAACAAAATTATCTGTCACATCCATTGGTTAAAAAAACAAAGACTGAAATTATTTTAGCTTTTAAAACAACTATATTTATTTCTTTCTGAGGTTGAGAATAAATGCTCTTTTTAATGAGTAAATGGATTTAAATCTTGAATTGTTTCCCCTTTTCCCAACAGATGCTGTATCTTTTATGAATACGTGAGTATACCTTCTAGTATCTATGTTCTGAACAATAATAATGTAAATGAAATTAAATGCTTCTTTTTGGAGATCTAGTTTTACAGTAAAGAATTTATGCTAATTTTTCATCAGATTTGATAGTGCTAAAAAAGAGAATAATTGCCTAATACACATAAAACAGTTCTAAAAGGATTTTTAATTTCTAGGTAGAAGTGTTAACCTCACAAATTCAAATCTATACATCATCATCATCATTAATTTCCAAATACCTACTGTATCTGTGATTTATATTGACTCACTGTAGAGAGATTTCATAGATTAAGAAGACAGTCCTTCAATGAGACAGTCAACTAAAATGCTTGTAATTCAAGTCCACTGAAGTTAACAGTATTGAACATAAACATTGCCAGAGTCCTCTGACAAACAATAACTGCAAAGTTACTGGAATAAATTACTGTAATTTAAATTACCTTTTGAAATAGAGCCCTAGTGGGTGGTGGTGACTACAGACAGTGGCTCCTTTTGAAATAACACAATTTTAGATTCCTTTTACCTGATTTTCAAAATCACTAAATAACTTCAGCTTCAGATGACAAACTAGTATTTGAGAGCGATCTTTCTTTCTGTAATTACCATAATCCATAATAAGTAATATATTACTTTCCACTATACAGTCCCTCTTCCAGTATCCAGATTTCTATGTGACAGATACCACCTCAACAGATAGAAAAAAAATGTAGTATTTCAGGTGGCATTCTGGTTGGCAGAATGAATTACTAAATGTTGCTGGCAAGAACACAGTGATACAAAAGCCTATGCCACCTCATCCAAATAAGCAAGAAAAGAAAATCAAGTCTGTGCATAAAGAATGAATTATCATTTCCAAGAATTCCAGCTTAGTCCTTTTTAAGCAGTAAACTTGTACAAAATGTAACTAAGTTCATTGTGTTCAATGAATCACTTATAGTTAATTAGTAGTAATCCCTAATATCACTTGTCTGACTGTAATGTATTCATATTATTCTTAGGATTGCAATAAATTTTTACTACATTTTGGCTTTTTAAGTTTTAATTACAGAATCACAAAATATGCTGAATTGGAGGGGACCCCATAAAGCATAAAGTAATCATGCTTCTCCTTACCATTACTGTAATGGTCTTTTAATAAAACTACTCTTATAGTCAAGGTAACAGATCTATCACCAAAATTTTTATCCAAATGTTACCTTCTTATTAAATATGTGGAATATGAAATAGGCTGCCAAGGGAAGTGGTGAAATGACCATCCCCAGAGGTATTTAAAATATATGTAGATGTGGCGCCTGGGGGCATGATTTAGTGGAGAACTTGGCAGTCCTGGGTTAATGGTTGGACTCAATGACCATAAAAGTCTTTTCCAACCTAAAAGATTCTGCAATTCTCTATTAAAATTGTATTTGCTCCTACAATGATATCAATATATTCTGGTATGAAAAGACTGCTATTTTCCCTAGTTAAATTCATGCAGTTCAGCTTTTGAACGATCCAGTATAGTTGCACACTAAGCTGTCATTTCTTGGTTACAAACCAATGCCTCAGCCTGCAGAGAAACATCTAAAAGGTTTCCCTACAAAAACTTTAATAGCATTTGCCATAGTTTAAATTTAAATACTTTTTTTTTTTTTTCCCCCCCTAAACTAAGCTTTGCCCGCTTTTGGCCTGGATAATATTCCTGACTGAAGCAACTCGACATGTCTGTGCAGGAAGCCTTTGGGCTGTCGCACAACTGTGCCAAATCTGCTTGAGTGAATAAAGTGGTGCATTTTTTTGTCCTTTTCTTTTGGGTGTTTTCCAGCTTCACAAGAGATCAGTACAATTGACTATGTACTCCTGTCAAATACATGAAAAGACAAAAAATTTTTTTCTTTATTTTTTTTATGGCCAGTCTCTTCGCGAACGAAGAACCGGGGAAGGTCTTTACACCTTCCAGCCTGCGCATTGGATTTTTTTTTTTTTTTTTAGGTGAGACACAGTGTGCGCGGAACTGAGCCCACCCTTTAATCCTGAGGTTCATCTGCCTGGCCAAGCACGCTTGGACAGTGGCAGCGAGGTCCTCAGGACGTAGATGGATTGCCTTACGGGCTAACGAGCTCCATCTGCCCGGGGAGGGGCCCTGACCGGGAATCGAACCCGGGTCTCTGCAGTGACAGTGCAGTGTCTTTTCCCCTAGACAAAAAATATTAATTAACAGAAGTACTCTCCTAATAAATTTTTTATCATTCTCAGCAAAAAAAAGTTTTTTGATTTATAGTTTTTCAAATGAAAAGGTTTTAAATTCATTATCAACCACTTTTCTGCATATTCCTATGCCTCATTATATAACTTTGCAAACTCTAGCATCTTTGACTAAGGAACCTGAGCAATAAAATAATTTATCAAGATGTTCTGAAGTATGACCTGAACCTACCTTAAGAGTTTGAGGAGGGAGTTTTAACCAGAATTACACTAGATTAGTATTAGAAAATACTAGCATAAAATATTAATGAGTTGAGAACTCAGAAAAGTAGAGATATTACCTCCCTTAAATCAAAATCAGAAGAATAATTATAATTTATTTGCTGTTCCTTTATTATTGGTAGCCACTGCATCCTGTATCTAATTCAAATGTTTTAGGTACAAATAAGACTACCATTCTACTTAATTCTATCTGAGTGATATGAAGAATCCTCCATCATGATTCAACTATGCAAAACTTGATTCTTCTATACTTATATTGTCTTTGTAAAATAACATGTATTGACAGAAAATTCCAGGGAAGCAGAATAATTTAAGAAGATAGATTGAAAAGATAATGCTAAAAACCATCCTACCAACCAACCAAAACACTTGACTAAACAAAAAAAGAATATTGTTACGTGTTTAGTTCTTGGTGTTAACCTTGAAGCTAATGAACCTGTCCTCTGTAAGGATGCACTACACTATGCCTAAAGCTTTACCTTTAATAACCACCTATGCAACGAAATATTCCAGTAAAAGTTGTTTTACCTCCTTAGGCAAGAATGAGCAAAGTAAACATCCATAGGGTGGTCATCTTGATTCCAGCTGAACTCACGTGTTCCCGTTTCTGCACGCACGTAATAAAAACACTGGAGTAGTGAGAAACCCTCTATGTGTGACCTTGCATATTAGGAGGGTGAAAGGCAAGTGAGCACAGCGTGCTGCAGGGAGCTCATTTTGGGGAGCATCACTTGGGGAGATCTACCTGCCTCTGCACATCCAGGAAACATCAGAAACACAAAGCCTTGCAAAAATGCAGAGTTTCTATAGCCAACAAAGGATGTCTGACTATTGCCAGCATATATTTACATCAAATTTATCACTTGTCAGGCACGCAAAAAAAATCCCAGAAAAATCCCTACCTGAACTATAGTATGTCTATAAGCAAACAACAAATCAAGCCTTAGGGAGCCTTCATTATTTTTTCCTGCACCTCAAGTCAAAAAAGCATGGTAAGATGGGCTCTGTGGAGACAGCCAGCACCAGCAGAACAAGGTGAGCTACAAAAAACCATCAAACACTTCTCCACAATTTACAGGAGTCTAAATCAGTTTTGATGGCATACAACTGAATGCTCAAAGTGACACCAAAATACTGCTTTCCTGGACCGTGTTCACCAGTCACATTTCTATAAAAATAATCAGAATCCTCATGGGACGTAAACCAGAAGTGGGGAATGCTGTTGAGTACTTTGGCAGAGGAAAAGTTGCTCGAGACATTCTCAGTCAGCATTGCCAGAGGGCCTGTACAAACACCCAAGGACTTACTTTCAAAGCAGGTGCTGGGGAGCAGCAAGGGCACTTTGGACTCAGCTGAACTCCTAGAAGTTGGGAGTGTGCCTGTGTCACTAGCAGCAGGAACAATGGTGGGGCAGAGGTAAGTTACACCAAACCCCCAGCCAAATGTAGACATTTTTGCACCCTACCTGGTCACAGCAGTACTGGCAGTATCGTTTGGGTTTAGTTTTAGATATTACATGTCCTAATGTGAGACCTGACCCCCATTCAGATGAATGCCTTGATGCCTTGCACCATTCAGTGCAAGGAGGTTCACCACACTATATACACTTCTACCATAGTATTTATTAGGCAGCCTGCAGAAATTTTTTTATCGCATGCACCAACATACATCAGTGCACATACACAGCAGGTCATATCATTAGGTTATTCAAATCCTCTGCCTTACTGCTCCTCAGAAAAACAACACAGCAAAGAAACTCAAGTTTTTGCGAGGAAGGGATGTAAATCTTCCTTTATTCACTGTTTCTGGCACACCCCTTAGTTTATCACACAGGCTGCCAGGGCAAATTCACACTTTTGTATTCCTTTAATTATCCAAGAAATGTTTGTGTGCCTCTCCTTTGTGTGCATTCAGTTTACAGTTGTCACTCATTTTTTGAGAAAGTGCTATAGCTATCTGCTGCAATAAAAAATATATCTTTTTATTGTTTTCTAAAACAATGACATTATATCTAACACTACTGTAGAAAAGGTATGAAAGGATTTTATGAGGAGTTTTATCAGCACATGATCTTTTCAATTATTTCTACAGTGGAGCCACACAAACATTACTGTATATAATTACAGGCAGATAATACTGTCTCACTAATTTTTTAATTGTTTTTCTGGTTGTGGAAGGTGGAAGAAAAAAGATTCAGAAGCATTTCACAAAAAGCAAGGAGGTTGAGAAATTAATATTCCATCTAAAGCAAAGGAGAAGCAGATTTTAAATCAGTAGTACACTTTAGGTTATCTGCAAAATAGTAAACAACTTTTAGTATCAACTATGTAGCAGGTAAAAAACCCCCACAGAACCTCAGAATAAATTTTACATGAAATAATCCCATGAAAAAGTACCAACCCTTAAAGAATTTACCATAGGAAAAAAAAACCCTCAAGAGCAACTTTTTGTTTGTGGCCAATTTAAAATAATTTCAAAATCTCTGACTTTGGTAGTCACTTCCTTCACCTCTGTAAATGTGACACGCTAACCTCTCTTCAATATTTAATAGCACTCTATTAGTCAGCTGTGGTATCAACTTGGCTACCCTATCAAGAAGTCGTTTTAATGTTTCAACAGACCTCATCCAATCCCCTCGATGATCCTGAAAAATGTAAAAAAAAATCCAACAACCCACATATTTTACTGATGACTGCTCCTTTGTATCTTGTGAACTTCAAAAACTGACTTTTAAAATGATGACAAAGTTTTCAGCTGTAGATGCCAGAAAACCATTCAGGTGGTTAATTCCCACCTTTATTAGAAAAGCCTTGCTTCAAGTTCCTATGGGGAAAGTGAACTGTCTAATTTTTTTCCCCGACAAATCATTGTTATTCCCTAGGTTTTAAAAAATCAATAGCAGAACGTTGTGGCTATGCTATGAAAGTTTTTTACTTCTTTTCAATGATGCAGAGAAATATTTGCAGCCAAATTTCTAGATAAGTCTCAAATCAATGCTTTCCTCTGCATTTAATACTAGCAGAAATTTACGGACAAGATTTTTATTTTAAAAACAAATTTTAAACTGCTCCAGTCCCATTTATATTTAATTTCCCTACATTGATTGTGCTTAATAAAACTGTTCTATTTCTTCTTATTTAAATGTGGTTTAAAGTTCAGCTACACCACTAAGAGCATTATTTAAATATGGAGCATGCACTGAAAGCCAGCAGGAGTCTTGCATTCCACAAAGTCACTGCTTAAGCGCTTGCAACGTAGGCAGCAAAGCCTGTTACTTAATGGAAAGAGCATAACACAGTCTGTTTCCCTGTAGTTTTTGACCATTCCTCCTGAAATAGTCTACAATAGTATCAATTATACTAAATTTTATTTTGTTAGTGAATTCATTTCACACAGACCAACCTCCTAAAACCCATTAACTTTAGTTTTGAAATAACTTAGCCTCCTAGAGATGGAACACTTGCTACTTAGCTTCCAATACCAGCCAGTTTCCTTTCGTTTCAGTTCTGCAGACAGTTATTGGTGTAACAGTGAACACAGAGAATCCTTTCACACTGGAAGGCTGTGAAGCTTTACTGTTCCAAGGAAATGAATTTGCAGGGCAGGACGTACGTGCTGTATTTTATTTACTTTAAACTTGGAAGCAAGAACATCATTAAGGAAAGCAGTATTATATGATTGCCCTGTTCTCAATCTTCCCTTGATGTCCATTTCATGCCCCTATATATTGCAGACAGGATACTGAGCTAGATGGACTCCAGTTCTGAATCAATATAATCACTCTTTTATTTTTTATTTAGAAAAGCTAATATCAAACCAAATTACTTAATTTTGTAATTTCCCATAATTAATTAATTAAAAAAGGATATTGGTACACAAAAAGAAGGAATTAGCTCAAGGCTGGATTTCTGCTAATAATGTTAAGTTCTTTCTGTTTGTTTCAAACCTATTTTTATTTGAGAAAAGAGCTCATTTCCAAAACTTAAGACCTTATACAGGAGCACATTAGGAATAGAATTAAAAAATTTCAATTTCGAGGGACCTGCAATGACCATTGAGTCCAACTGCCCAACCATTTCAGGGCTGACCAAAGGCACTGTTCAAATGACTCATAAAACACTGACAGTCTTGAGGCATTGACCACCTTTCTAGGAGCCTGTTCCACTGGTTGACCACCCTCTTGGTAAAAAACTGCTTGATGCCCAGTCTGAACCTCTCCAGCTGCAGATTTGAGCCATTCCCAGGCATCCTGGCACTGAATCCCAGGCAGAAATGCTCAGCATCACCCTTTCCCCTTCACCTCCTCAGGAAGCTGCAGAGAGCAATGAGATTGCTTCCCAGCCTCCTTTAAATTTTAAATTTTGCTGCTTCTCCACAGTACAGCAGTTTTGATAGTAGTGTACTATGATATCCCTTCAGTCCTGGCACTGGTATTTGGGTCTGATCCAAACCAAACAAGTATCTAAAATAGTATCTGGAAAGAACTTAAGTGCTCAAGAAATCATTCAGAAATAGCAAATTAGAGAAATCAATAGTGGAGAGGTAGAATCCTCTCTGCCCTGAGGCAACTGAGCAGTCTGCTGCCTAGATCACAACACAGTCTATCAGTACCCAAAAAACTGTTCTTCAGGCATACCTTATTGAGAGCATTGCATAGAAAGTATGATTATGGTTGTCATGCTTCAAAGAAAACAGTACAACACCCAGAAAGATAAAATGAGGTCTACTTTCTTCTTTCCCTCCTCCCTCTTACCCCAGCAGCTCAGCTATTAAAGCCCTAGTGCACAATGTGATAGAACTAGATATAAAAGTGTATTCACTTGTGAGAAATAAAAGCAGTATCTAAGTTGAATGCAACCATCAGGCTGTCTTTCCTGTTGAAATATCAATCCTGTATAGAAAACAACACAGTATTTTAGGTAAGAAACTCCACTATAAAAGACATCACCACAATTACCTTCTCTTTGCACCACGTTTTGAAAGATTTCTTCATAGAAAGAGTGCAGACAGTAGCACTCATATAAGGAAAGGCAGTTTCTCAGTGGAGCAGAAAAAGCTACTGAAGATCAAGGGCTGAGAGTGAATTTCATGTAAGGTACCAAAAAAAAACTGGTCAGCTTTTTGATGTTGGGTAAGAAACATTCAGTGAATTGAGATCGATTCTTTTTTGAGGCATGCAGTTCCATATGCACTGTATGACCACTAAAGGAACTTAACCCAACCCATAGATACATGGAGACAGTCACCTAAAAATAAGTATTACAAACCACTTTTTCAGTGTCTTTCTGGTTCTGGTCTTTGGTACCGTAACATTAATTTTCAAATAAATATGGCATAATGTAAATTAAATTCCTTTAAGGAAACCCACTTCTGTATGTGAAGATATTGCAATATTTCCTCCTGGGATAGCCAACTGCTAGAGCACGTAATAAAACCCACTAGGAACATGAAGCTCCTCATCTTTTCAATACCAACAAACTGCATAAGGATAGCCCTTCAGCAACAGACTTAATTCTTAACATGGAGATCAAGCCAAGCACCACATGCTGACCATTGTTTTAGGTAAATTATGTAAAGTATGATCACATTTTTATATGACTATTTCAGCTACAATATTTGTTCTGTGTTGTCTCTGGTAACTAATAAAAAGTGATTTTCTCTAGGTTTTGAGGGGATGATTCATTTTAAATTCAGCACTTCCTTAGGGAAATAATGCAGACAGAAGCCAGACATCCTCTATCTTGAAGAAAGTGTATAGCATGCAGGAAATTCCCAATACACACACATAAAGCCTGTCTCTCTGTGAAATCACACATCACAGCCCTTCCCAGTTCTACAAACTCTTCACATTAGCTTTACTCACCTCCTTCCAAGAAACCCCCCTTCACACGGCTCTTCACCTTCGCCTCTTTCCATGTAAACAATTCTCTCCTTTTCTTTCCATTCCTTCTCCCCCCTACAGGAAAAAATACAGAGCCAGGATGTTTCTTCTTTCTACTTAGCTGATAGTTTCGCTGCTTCCTTTCCTGCAGCTTATGCCTGTTGGGGCCAGATACAAACTCCTACTGTGCCTCCATAGTGGCACAAAGTTCCACATATAACTAACAAAGAATATTCTTAACATCAATATATTGTCTGAATTTTGAGATTGACATATCATGCAAGAGACTTCATGATAGTCACCTATACCTTACATGTATGTTGTCTTTTATTTCTGTATTCTTCACCAGATGTGTGGACATGAAACATTGTCACAAAATAGGAGAAGATTCTGCAGGAAGCAGGAAAGAGTTTGTTGATCCTTTTAATGGGAGGATCAAGTAAATGATTTAACGTGAGTTTAAGAGATGTTAAACAGATTATTTAACAGATTATTTTCTGTTGACAGGAAGGAGGAATAATCACAGAGTAACTTAGGCTTGAATGACTTCTGGCATTATTTGGTCTAGCCCCCACTTAAAGCTGCGCTAACTTCAAAGTACCACTAGACATAATGTATGCGGGAGACTGTTCAGAATTTGTTTAGTTAATTCTCTTTTTTTTAAGAGAGGAAATAAAATCTGATAGAAGATGAAATTAGAAGAGTTTGGTGAATTTAGATGAGACAATTGAAGTCTGAGAAGGCAGCACAAAGTGGTTTTTATAATGTTGCAAGACTAAAAACTTGGAGAAAAAGAAATAATCAAGGGAAGCTCACAGGTGGGACAAGAATAAACAAGTTCAAAGTGGTCGTTGAAATTTTTGCTAGAATTTAAAAAAAATTATTGAAACTTCATGGAAACAGCCAATCCCCAGTCCCATCCAATTTGAATTGAGGTGCCAAAACCTATACTTGTTCTGCTCTTAGAAGGCTGTTTGGGAAGTTTATTAGAAGGAGCTGATGTTAATTCCAGCTTTAAAGAACTGGACTACAGCCTAGGATGTTGCCTCCAGTTCTGTATTTGAAATAAGCTTAATCTCTGACACTGATCACTTGGAGATTTTTATAGAGTAATATATACACAACTGCATAAATTAATAACCGATACCACCAGAAACACCGGGCAATACAAAAACACAGGTTTGCTAGAAGCAGTACCAAGAATCATGTATGCAAGAAATGATAAGCGTTAAATTTAAATTTCAGTGCATGAACATAAAGGCAGCAGAAAACTACTTCCTAACCTAAAATGTTAGATGAATGTAAAGGTAATTGGGCCTATTAGGTGGGTGCCAAGCAGCTGGATCAACCCATGAACAATTGCTATTGATTTATGATTGTAACTATGGGAGTGAAATTTCTTATTTGTAAACTGTCTGTTTGCATACAGAGTTGACAAATTATGCAAGTAACTAAAATGGCACATGGTAATAACAGCTATTTAGCTATATGGATAACCTTTAATCACGCATTTATTACTGAAAACGACTAAAGTTATATTAATGTTAACTGACAAAAAATAAATGAAACCTTTAGACAGATTTGGAGCTTTGCAGTGAGCAGACTCTTTATTCTGGCTTTTCCACCACTAAGGCTCAGCGGGGAAAATGAGAATCAGTTCCCTATGAAAATAATAATTTTTTCATTATTCATTGCCTACCAGAAGAAATACAACTCATGAGACCTTACGCATGTAAAACCAGGTTTATAGGTCAGATATTTGGTAAAGACAGATGTGAGAAATATATTTTTAAAATTTTGTGCAGGAATTAAAGAGAATATTCCTAAAGAGTAAAAGGATGTCTTTATAGAATTTTGAAAAAAATATCTTCCAGGTATCATACTACTAATACCGAGAGCAATAATATTTTTAATCATCTTTATTAGAAGAATATTACAATACAAAATGTTGGGAAAGTTACTTGATAACCAAACCAATATTTTGAAATAGTTTTGTTAACAAAAGGATGACATCACCTTTCTACTTAAATAGAGACATCCAGAACATGAAGTTTCACAAGATAGTTGAATCTTTTGATCTTGATATATGTACATAATCCACACATTTCAATACTGAGTTAAAACTTTGCAAGAGAACTTTGTGATTTCCCGATCCTTCGAGTACCTATGTGTACCTGAAGGTCTGCCAGCCAGGTAAACCACGAAGGGCTGCACTAGAAGCAAGAGTTAGGTTGAAACTCAGATCAAATCAAAAGACAAGCACTCAGTCAACTTTGGAAGTTCTACTCACAACTTCTTTGTTCTGTTTGGCTTTTCTATAACCTATCTATTGCTCACTGTCTGCATATTGAAGCAAGTATCAAAGTCTTTGTCTGCACCCATTACCATGCAGCTGATATTGCTACAGCCAAATGGCAGACTTTTTCCTAAAACTTGCTGCCTGTTTGGGGCAATCTCAACAGTACTCATGAAAAACAAAAGCACACCTCTGACCTTCCAGATTATTATTCCTTTAAGCTGCCAAAAAGACCATCTTTCTCCCCACAAACTGGGGAGACCAAAGCAGAGAGTAAATGGGACAAGTAGTGAAAGCTGCTTGTTACTTAATTATTGCAAAATTTTCCAATGCAAATTAGCCCTAACGTACTAGAAAAGTGACTTCACAGATATTGCAGGTTCTTATGTTGTGTTGAAAAAGAATGCAGGAGGCTTCGCTATATGCTTTTATCACTTGTAAAAATTTAAGAGACCAGTTAGTTTGTCACTTATGGCACCACTAAGTTCATATCTCAGAACCATTTAATAGAAGAATTCAACTGCTGAGATAGCTTACTTGTTAAAACCAAATTCTACCTACTGCAGTCCTGAAAGCACTTCAAATTAGAAAAGTTGTAACACTCTATAGTGTTAAGATAGGGCAATGATCCTCATTCTGCTCAAGGGGCAATCCAGTAATTTCTGGAAAGTCTGCATAATTATACAGAAAAATGTTAAACTGTATTAGGTTAAATAAAAGCACTAATTTTCTCTGCTGACTCTGCTGAAAAAGCAGACAAGGGAAATGAAACACAGATCTCAAGTAACTAGCTGAGCTTTACATTGGCAGATACAATTCTTTAAAAGTCCTTTGTTTTGGTGAAAAGGTTGCTGAACCATAGGAAAATTGAGTTCTTGGCCACCTATGCAAATCCCTCTCCAGGATGCCTCAACATCACTTGTTCAAAACAATTCATTAAAATTCTTTCTTTCCCATGCCTGCTAAGTCCAGAATTCAGTTAGTTTTCACTAAAGCTCATGCCACTAAGTAATACTTTTCTCTTTGTGCCCATCCTAATCATATGTTCCATGATCAGAAATATTACATATATATATAAAAGTTACCAGTTTTCCATTTATTTCAGCTTTCTTTTCTCTATTTACACTAAATGAAATTTTGAGAGGTTCTCAACTGAGTTATCCTACCATTTCATTAACTCTGTAACCTCTTTTTCTTCAAATATCTTAATCTAGGTTTAAAAGCTGATTGTAAAATTAAGAATTTTATATTACTTCTTCAGTGCATCTTGGAAACAGTCCAATCAAAAAGCTAAATCTGTTTCCACTGGCAAAGCAGAGCTAATATGAAAAGTGAGGAAACTGATTTATTTTTTTTTCTCCCTGAATATGAATCACATAAAATCTGTTCTGGATTTAACAAAATTAATTTCTCACAGTATAGAAATGCTAAATCTCATAGTTTAACAGTAAGTTTGCTTAAGAAAGCAATGAATTTTGTGGCCATTTTGAGAAGGAACAGTATTTGCAAGTGAGTTTAAGGGCAGTCAGTGTCAAAAGCAGAGACAGATTTTTACTCCCTATCATGTAGCAAAAACCCCTGCTCAAAGCAGGGTCAACAAGCACTAGCTGAGAGGTATTACTACTTTTCAATTGTTAAAAACTGTATCCAGATCATAATTTTTTAAAAAAATTTAAAGAATACATTGAATATGCGAAAAGCTTATAAAGAAAATATGAAAAGACCCACTACTAAACAAAATTTGAGAATCCCAATTTCAACAATTTTTTTGTACTGAATAGTATGGTTCAACAAAACACTGTAAGGACAACTGGATAGTTTTGACTTCAATACACAACAGTTTTGCAGTTAGGATGGACTGGAATAGAAGTGATCTATACAGAGAAAAACATTTTATTTGGCCCATTTTCAGTAAGAATGATGTTCTACTCTGGGATCAAGGTTAAGGAGAATTCGCATAATACAGTATTCTCTATGTCCCATGATGAACTACATCATCCCCAGTCCAAAACTGAAGTAAACAGAGGCGATCACAAATTCTGTTATTCTGTCAAGCTGGGGGTGGCAATTTCTAAACAGACATTACAAAGTAATATAACTATTTAAGAAAGGAGAAAAAAATCAAACCCAACTGCAACTCAAGCCTAGGCTGACTTCCAGAGTTAAAAATTTGCTACAAATTCAAATTGAAATGATTGAAAGGAAAAGAAGTAAATGCATTTGATTTTCTTAAGGTGTCACACAGCACATAATTTCTTTCACAGAGTAAAAAAGGAAAAGTAGATCTAATATATCTGAAATTCCATTGGGCATTTAACCCATTATCAGATGACATTGCCAAGTTTATAGTTTAAAAACTAAAGTGAGAAACAGTAAAAGATTTGAACATTGGGCATAAAAAGGCCAGACAAGAGACAACTGGTGGTGTTAAACTGAAGCTAAGCAAGAGGGAAACAAAGCAGAATTATTCAAAAATCAGTCTAGGGGGAATACAGTTTTTCAGAGCAACATGCAAGAAAAATTCAACCAGTTTAAAAATGAGGCAAGATCAGTACCTGAAATGTATTAAAGAATTTTTCCAGTATCAGATAAGATTGGATATTTTGTTTCTCACGTTAATTCCAGCCTCATTTTACCATGAAGTGGCTTTAATTTTTTCAGGGAATTGTTTCAGGAGACTGAAAACTGCCTTCACTCTCCTTGTGCAAGTACTTTTTAAAAATTTTTTTAAATATGAATACAAAAAGGAAACCGCTTTTGACCAAGTCATTAAAGAAAG